CATATTAATGAGTTAGTTGACATGTAGTTGCAAATTAATGAGTTAGTCGACATGTAGTTGCAAATTAATGAGAAGTAATTAAGATGTAGTTGCAAATTAATGAGAGTTAGTTGACATGTAGTTGCATATTAATGAGAGTTAGTTGACATGTAATTGCAAATTAATGAGTTAGTTGACATGTAGTTGCAAATTAATGAGTTAGTTGACATGTAGTTGCATATTATTGAGAGTTAGTTGACATGTAGTTGCAAATTAATGAGTTAGTTGACATGTAGTTGCAAATTAATGAGTTAGTTGACATGTAGTTGCAAATTAATGAGAGGTAGTTGACATGTAGTTGCAAATTAATGAGAGTTAGTTGACATGTAGTTGCAAATTAATGAGTTAGTTGATATGTAGTTGCATATTAATGAGAGTTAGTTGACATGTAGTTGCAAATTAATGAGTTAGTTGACATGTAGTTGTAAATTAATGAGTTAGTTGACATGTAGTTGCAAATTAATGAGTTAGTTGACATGTAGTTGCAAATTAATTAGTTAGTTGACATGTAGTTGCATATTAATGAGTTAGTTGACATGTGGTTGCAAATTAATTAGTTAGTTGACATGTAGTTGCAAATGAATGAGTTAGTTGACATGTAGTTGCATATTAATGAGTTAGTTGACATGTAGTTGTAAATTAATAAGTTAGTTGACATGTAGTTGCAAATTAATGAGTTAGTTGACATGTAGTTGCAAATTAATGAGTTAGTTGACATGTAGTTGCATATTAATGAGTTAGTTGACATGTAGTTGCAAATTAATGAGTTAGTCGACATGTAGTTGCAAATTAATGAGAAGTAATTAAGATGTAGTTGCAAATTAATGAGAGGTAGTTGACATGTAGTTGCATATTAATGAGTTAGTTGACATGTATTTGCAAATTAATGAGTTAGTCGACATGTAGTTGCATATTAATGAGTTAGTTGACATGTAGTTGCAAATTAATGAGTTAGGTGACATGTAGTTGCAAATTAATGAGAGGTAGTTGACATGTAGTTGCAAATTAATGAGAGGTAGTTGACATGTAGTTGCATATTAATGAGTTAGTTGACATGTAGTTGCAGATTAATGAGAGTTAGTTCACATGTAGTTGCAAATTAATAAGTTAGTTTACATGTAGTTGCAAATTAATAAGAGTTAGTTGACATGTAGTTGCATATTAATGAAAGTTAGTTGACATGTAGTTGCATATTAAAGAGAGTTAGTTGACATGTAGTTGCAAATTAATGAGTTAGTTGACATGTAGTTGCAAATTAATGAGTTAGTCGACATGTAGGTGCATATTAATGAGTTAGTTGACATGTAGTTGCAAATTAATGAGTTAGTCGACATGTAGTTGCAAATTAATGAGTTAGTTGACATGTAGTTGCAAATTAATGAGAAGTAATGAAGATGTAGTTGCAAATTAATGAGAGGTAGTTGACATGTAGTTGCATATTAATGAGTTAGTTGACATGTAGTTGCAAATTAATGAGAGTTAGTTCACATGTAGTTGCAAATTAATAAGAGTTAGTTGACATGTAGTTGCAAATTAATTAGTTAGTTGACATGTAGTTGCAAATTAATGAGTTAGTTGACATGTAGTTGCATATTAATGAGTTAGTTGACATGTAGTTGTAAATTAATGAGTTAGTTGACATGTAGTTGCAAATTAATGAGTTAGTTGACATGTAGTTGCAAATTAATGAGTTAGTCGACATGTAGTTGCATATTAATGAGTTAGTCGACATGTAGTTGCAAATTAATGAGTTAGTCGACATGTAGTTGCAAATTAATGAGTTAGTCGACATGTAGTTGCATATTAATGAGTTAGTCGACATGTAGTTGCAAATTAATGAGTTAGTCGACATGTAGTTGCAAATTAATGAGAAGTAATTAAGATGTAGTTGCAAATTAATGAGAGTTAGTTGACATGTAGTTGCAAATTAATGAGAGTTAGTTCACATGTAGTTGCAAATTAATGAGTTAGTTTACATGTAGTTGCAAATTAATAAGAGTTAGTTGACATGTAGTTGCAAATTAATTAGTTAGTTGACATGTAGTTGCAAATTAATGAGTTAGTTGACATGTAGTTGCATATTAATGAGTTAGTTGACATGTAGTTGTAAATTAATGAGTTAGTTGACATGTAGTTGCAAATTAATGAGTTAGTTGACATGTAGTTGCAAATTAATGAGTTAGTCGACATGTAGTTGCATATTAATGAGTTAGTTGACATGTAGTTGCAAATTAATGAGTTAGTCGACATGTAGTTGCAAATTAATGAGAAGTAATTAAGATGTAGTTGCAAATTAATGAGAGTTAGTTGACATGTAGTTGCAAATTAATGAGAGTTAGTTGACATGTAGTTGCATATTAATGAGAGTTAGTTCACATGTAGTTGCAAATTAATGAGTTAGTTTACATGTAGTTGCAAATTAATAAGAGTTAGTTGACATGTAGTTGAAAATTAATTAGTTAGTTGACATGTAGTTGCAAATTAATGAGAGTTAGTTGACATGTAGTTGCAAATTAATGAGAGTTAGTTCACATGTAGTTGCAAATTAATGAGTTAGTTTACATGTAGTTGCAAATTAATAAGAGTTAGTTGACATGTAGTTGAAAATTAATTAGTTAGTTGACATGTAGTTGCAAATTAATGAGTTAGTTGACATGTAGTTGCATATTAATGAGTTAGTTGACATGTAGTTGTAAATTAATGAGTTAGTTGACATGTAGTTGCAAATTAATGAGTTAGTCGACATGTAGTTGCATATTAATGAGTTAGTTGACATGTAGTTGCAAATTAATGAGTTAGTCGACATGTAGTTGCAAATTAATGAGAAGTAATTAAGATGTAGTTGCAAATTAATGAGAGGTAGTTGACATGTAGTTGCATATTAATGAGTTAGTTGACATGTAGTTGCAAATTAATGAGAGTTAGTTCACATGTAGTTGCAAATTAATGAGTTAGTTTACATGTAGTTGCAAATTAATAAGAGTTAGTTGACATGTAGTTGCATATTAATGAGAGTTAGTTGACATGTAGTTGCATATTAATGAGTTAGTCGACATGTAGTTGCATATTAATGAGTTAGTCGACATGTAGTTGCATATTAATGAGAGTTAGTTCACATGTAGTTGCATATTAATGAGTTAGTTGACATGTAGTTGCAAATTAATGAGAGGTAGTTGACATGTAGTTGCATATTAATGAGAGTTAGTTGACATGTAGTTGCATATTAATGAGTTAGTCGACATGTAGTTGCATATTAATGAGTTAGTTGATGTAGTTGCAAATTAATTAGTTAGTTTACATGTAGTTGCAAATTAATGAGAGTTAATTGACATGTAGTTGCAAAGTTACTTATAGATAGTTAGAAGAATGTCTAAATTGGACTATCGAAATAAAATGTAACCTAAAAGTATAATATTATATTTCCTACCCAACCTGCAAAACCCCTGGGAACAGAAACCAGTGTCTGCTGTTATAGCATTTGTCTTAATGCCAAGCTGTTTTAATTGGTTACCAAGAAAACAACAGCAACATACAAACCACAAGCTTTTAATTTAATGTTTAAATCAAAACCTTATCATTGCTGAGACGTAACATTTGTAAGAACCTCCAAGTGTGACACATAGCAACAGCCTCCTCTATACAGTATTTGTATTTTTAATCGGAGACTGTTGAGAAAACTGTGAAAGAAGTTGATAAATAAGCACAGTGTCAGCTTTATATCACACGAGTGTGTTATGACTCACGGCTGGGATCGAAGGTTGAGGACTTTAATGAAAGGGTGTGACCTGCGTCTCTGAGGAGAACATTCACACACTGACCGCAAACATAACAAAAGCCAGGGCTGATATCAGTGTGGAAACCATGAAGGAACTGCACTGCCCCAGTCTGCCCTACAGGAATACACCAAAGACTACAGCGGCAAGCAAATAATACTCATTTAATACTCACATCCCAGATCAAAAATCAGATAAGATCTCTGAGTTTCTGAGTTTCTTTCTCTCTCTCTCTCTGGATCATACTTTACATGTTTAAAATGATTGACTCGGGAATGTTTGTCAGGTGTCTTTCAATCAGTGAATAAAGAGGCAGTGCAGCAATGAATTTAGCATACTGAATGTAAACCATAAGCACATGTTAATAAGAGTCCCAACCACTGCCTTTCAATCCACATTTCAGTGTCCAATTCAAATCTCTTCTGGAAACACAAATACATTATAAACTTACTTAAAAAAAAAAAATCCTGTAACACTGTAAGCAATACTCTACTGTCACCACTAGATGGCAGGCTTATTTAAATTATGCGAATCCACAAATATTAGAACAGTTTCGGCTTAAAACACACACACACACACACACACGCAATCTCTGTTACTTTAATTTCCTATTATCACTGTAAAACTGATTTGAAACCATTTATATTGTTAAAAGCGCTATAAATGAAGGTGATTTGACTATATAGCCTATATATTTACACAAAATAAATTACTTTAATGCATAAGCCTACATGTGTAAAACAGGAGCAATTTTATGGAATTACTTTTATGTTTAATGCAGCGTAACATAGGCTCAATAACACTATCTTTGGTCTTGTTTAACACGAGACTCACTGCTCTTATGTATTGTCATTTAAATAGTCCTGCTACCAGTTTGGCCAGTAGAGAGCAGCAATAGCCTACTGCATAATGAAACCAGCAGGATCACCCTCGAACTAAAATATGATTACATTATTATTATTAAAGAGCATAATTTCTTGGTTCTTTAAAATATATTGTTTCCTCTAAAACCACAAGTAGCTGCAGGCTACTCAGAGTTAACCCGCTGAGCAGAAGTTGAGCACACACACACACACACACACACACACACACACACAGTTTTAATCAATGCCAGCAGTGAGTGCGTGTTGACGGGGGTGTTGATCTGAGTTCCGCCATCGCTCGGTCCGGATCATCACCGGAGAGCGCGAGGGAACGCGAGGGAACGCGACGGAACGCGTTAAACACTCGCGTCAGAAGAGAGATTCCTGAGCGCGTGAGTGGATCATGACGCGTGTCTCCGTGTAATGTCACGCGCAGCGGGTCTGTGTGTGTGTGTGTCTGTACAGGTGTGTTACCTGTGGCTGTGAGTGAGTGAATGCTGGAAAAATGGACACGGAATTGAATCGCTGTCCTTGAACACTGTTGTTGTTGTTGTTGTTTTTCTTCTCGACTATAGGAACGCGTTTGGAGACAGACAGTGGGCCAAGCCGGTGACTTTACTCTATTGATTGATCGCGATCAGTCCGTGACGCTTTGTGAACGGGTGAAGACACGCAAACCACTCCCTGAGCACCGCACGCGAAGCTCTCCGTGCGTCTGATCGGTGTGAACGCGGGGAGTGTGTGTGTTTGCCGCAGTATGTGTGAGACGGTGATGGCCGTGTCTCATCAGCTGGACATCGAGCCTCATCCACCGGAGAACGGGTTCGTCACCCCCGAAACCAGCAACGCGCCCGGCTTACTCACGCAGATCGACGCCCGCGTCCTGCCAAGCGTGGGCGGATTCGGGAAGTATCAGAAACAGCTGATCGTTTTAACATGGATCCCGGCCCTTTTCATTGGCTTCAGCCAGTTTTCGGACAATTTTCTCCTGGCTCAGCCTCAGCCTCAGCCGAACACATCGTGCGAGCGCCTGTCCAACAACAACAACGCGCTCACGACCGTCGCGCCGCGCGAGATGCTCGCCGGCGTCAGTAACGACAGCACCAAGGCGCCGTGCATCTGTGTGCAGTCCGGGAAGGACCTGGAAAATGGACTAGAGAGAAATGTGGTGACCAAGGTAAGAGACACGGGTGTAAAACAGCGATGTTCATGTTCTGCCAGGCATTTTCAAATATATTCACATAGCTTTAATGTGCAATTTTCATGATTAGAGGACGCACATGACATGAGTGCATAAAGGTGAGTTTGTTTACAAAGCTTGCAGCTATCTGGACACACACACACACACACACACACACACTTGTTTACAAAGCTTGCAGCTATCTGGACACACACACACACACACACACACACACACGCTACAGGGAGAGAATGGCATTGCTGACAGAGATGAATATGAGTAATCTGCATGGACAGCCGTCACGGGGTGTCATGTCACTGGGTTTCCTCATGCTGACCAGATGACATAACCACAAATAAATCAACAGCACCCTTTTAACCACTGCTGTCCTGCCCCTCGTCTTCATTAGCCTGTCAGTGTGTGTTGTGCAATGAGGAATATGGGTCAACAAACCCTAACAGTAGCCTTCTGAGATAAGAGGAAGCCACCGTGGGCTTTATGATTTGATCATATTAGTGTCACATTATGTCCTTCCCCAGATAATCTGCATCTTTTTTGAGGATTCTCTGCCTGGATGCTCATATTACGATGGCAGATTAAGTGCGAGTAATTCTGTGTGTGCAGCCATTTTAGATTAGCTGTGTCAGTATCAAAACTATAGTTGTGTCCTCAAGTGTGAATAGAGTATAAGCGTGAGTGAGGCATTGTGTATTTATATACTTAGACACTATGATCCATATGTTCAGTTATGGCCGCTTGAACACATGCTGTGATGGGAATTCAGCATTTGGTTTCTTTAACCTGAACTCTGAAATTGAGTGTAAGATATTGGACAGTCAGTCTTTTTTTTTGGTTCGTGTCATCAAAAGATGATTTGACATGAGATATTAACTTGAGTTGACATTTTATTAGCTCACTTGATAAACTCAAAACTATAAACTGTGTTTGCTCCTTTAGGGGCTTTGGGAACAGGGTTGCATGTTCAAGTCCAGCAGCGTTAGGGAAGAAATGCTGTCTGATTGGGTCTACTGTTATCGGGTCTGTCTGTCAAAATATGTGCAATGGATATGGAAATATGTGCAGGCCATTTATTTAAACCTTTAAACATGCGAGGTTCCTTACACATCAAATATGGTAAACATAAGCTCAAACATGCTTGACACATGAGAAAAACATCACTGGTTCCTGTGTGAGCTTCTGTTTACTGTACTGGATGTGCTTTATGGATGTTCATATGTGAATAAACTGATAGTGGTGGGCAACGATTAATCACACCCGAAATAAAAGTTTATGTTTACATAATATATGTGTGTGTACTGTGTATATTATTTTGAAAACATGCATGTTTATATTTAAGAATTATGTTTTATTTATATGAAATATTGATATGTGTATATATAATATAAATTATGTATATATTATTTATATACAGTATATACATGCAAATATGTCTTAAACATGCATATGTGTGTATTTATATCATACAAAATAATATACACAGTACACACACATATATTATGTAAACACAAACTTTTATTTCGGGTGTGATTAATCGTTGCCCAGCACTAGATTAAACTGATCGTATCTCTTCAGAAGATTTGGATTGAACCACTTGATTAATGTGGATTACTTTATTATCATATGGTCTTTATTTACTTTTAAAGCTATTGATTATTACCTAGACTTTGACTGAATAGACAAAAAAATGATGAGATATTAAAAGTCTTAAAACATCATGAGTGTGAGTAAACATCCACAGTTGAACTGGTTTAGGTCATACGTGTGTGTGTGTGTGTGTGTGTGTGTGTGTGTGTGTGTGTGTGTGTGTGTGTGTGTGTGTGTGTGTGTGTGTGTGTGTGTGTGTGTGTGTGTGTGTTGTAGTCTCCGTCGGGTCAGTGTCCTCATCCTCCAGTCAGGTGTTTGTGTTCAGGGATGAAGGACTGGTTTCAGGTTGGACACACTGACAGGATTCGCTGGATTCGCCATCAGTGGACTCCTGAAGAGACCCAGTGTAGCCTGACGCTCGCTGAACACACTCTTGAGTTTCAGGGTTAGAGCTGACTAACCTGGTTTAGATCAGACTGAACATGCTCACACAGCTGGGTATCAACGCTCTCGGGTTTGAGCCAGAGATTGGGATTAACTCTGAACGTGTGACATCATCAGTGAACAGCCAATCACAGGGAGCGTGCAGTTTGAGTCACTTCTCTTCTGAAGATTAGAGATCATTATGAAAAATATCCTGAAATTAAACGCATAACAGAAAATATCTGACTATATCAATGCATGATGTGAATCAATAGGCCTTATAATTTATATAGTTTCACAAAGAGCTCAAAAGAAACGGGTATTGTATACGCTTGATCTGTCTAAAAGCTTATTAAAGCTTTTATTCATATATATTTAGATTAATTTAAAAGCTAAAAGTTTATTTATGCGAGTATATTAAATGAATTATCCATAATTACAATTCATATTATTAATATAAATAATAATTAGCAGCAAAAGATGGGCAACTTTATCTCTACAGTTTTCCACTCTCAGCTGCTGTGGAGCGAGACACAGGGGGCGGGGCTTCGTTGCATTTACTCACAGCTGATTGGTCCAGCTTGGGTTTGTGGATAACCTGTTCTGGAGCAGGAACCCGATTAAAACCAATCCACATTCTTGAGGCCGAAAAACCAGAGTTTGCTCAAACTAATCTCAAACTGATCTGGGTATCAGTGAAGCAACAGGCCACAGGTGTTGTGTTGTACATCAGCTGACCTGAGACGATGACCTTTGTCCTCCTAAACCAGGCGCTGGAGTCAGTGTATAATGTGGAAGCTGAAGTTCTGCCTTCTTCCTAACATCACCTGTTTCTTCCAACTATCGGGGAAACACTTGGTTTCTGCTCAAGCCAGTGGAAGGAGATATTCTGCTGTTTTCCTTGTACAGTGTCATCTGTGTTTAGTGTGTGATGTTGCTGTTTGAGAGAGAAAACGCTCCAGTTCTTCTCTGTATCAGTGTCAGTGTTTCTGAACTCACTGTAGTCTTGAGTTTCTCCCGGGAACGAACACGTCACAATATTCCTCATTATAATAATTCATGCGCAGAATAAAGGGGCGGGGCCTGGTTGAGTTAGTTAGTAGTGTGTTAAACTGGCGGTTATGGAAAGGGGCGGGACATTCCCAAACACACTCGAAGCGCTCGACCAATCACAACACACTGCTCCAGCCGACCAATCAGAGCACAGTGTGCTTTTCAGAAGGAGGGGCTTCATAGAGACAGGAAGTAAACAGAGCGTTACTGACAGACTGGGAAGAGAGGAGCCGCAACAATGGAGAATATGAGGAGAATAATCAACATTCAAGCAGGAAAACCTGTTCTAGTAGAGCCTGAAACAGGACTTTTAGCAAGGGCATAACACGTCCTATTTATATCTTTATGGATCTCATTTCCGGCTTTTGAAAATAAAACGAGTAGTACAACAAACTCAATACATTTGAGAACTATGTAAACACACACACACACTGGGTTTGTTTCTCATTCACTGTAATCTAATGTAATCTTGTGCAAAGCGACTGTCTTCAGTTTATTTGAGCCGTTTCTGTATTAATAGACACTTGAGATGTTAATAAACCTGTGCATATATTCGCATGACATAAACCATAAGCATATACAAGTATACATGAATCCGGTTGAGAAAAGCGTGATCTTTCATGTTTGTAGCATTTCACTGCTTTAGCTCTAATTCAACACACGCTTTTCATTTCTAATGGGATAGCAACTGGTAAAATAATGAATGTATGATGGCATTTGGTATCTTTTGTTGAGTGTTTGTGTCTTTTTGAAGCCGACGCCATGTTTTGCATAAGTGATGCATAGCTTGGGTTATTTCCTTGAGCGTTTGAGCTCCTCTCATAAGCGTGACGCTCTGATACCCGAATGATCAATATTTGCTCAGCTGAGTCAGGGTGGCTTCGAGGTGTGCTTGTGTGTGTCCACTCGTCATGCATGGGTCATGTAGGTTTTTATGGCGCTGTCTGAAGTATTGGTACCGATTTATGAGATTGCGCACACAGTTTCGTTGTAATAATCATTTGACGGGTCTTGGAAATGTCTTGCCTAGACTACTGATGGACATGAAGTCATATTCATAGTGTCCTCCCATGTGCCTGTTCTGTACATCTAGTACTAAACTATTCAACATCATCAATAATGTGACCACTACACTGTGCTCCAAATTACAATGCAAGAGACTTTCAAGAAAAGTCTTTGATGCTTTATTTCTCATATCTTTTCAGATAACAGGGGTCCGTTATTCGTTCCTCGCTTAATACATCTGAGATGATTTGGCAGATCTTCTAATCATAATTGATCTCCCTTTTCCACCAAAGCATTTTGAGAGCCGGTTCGGAGCCGGTGCCAACTCGCGAACCAGTTCTTTGTGTTTCGACAGCCAAAGATCCGGTTCTCGGCCAGGAAAACTGGTTCCAAAGCGGCACCAACTCTTTGCTGAACAAGAACCGCTCTTTTCCCACGTCATGCGGGGTTACTGTGACCAACAACACGACGGGAACGGGAAAGCTAAGACGTATGGCGACGTACACAGTGACGTAACGACGCCGTTCGCTGGTCAAAAACAAACAGGTTCTGAGAAGGTTCGCTAGTTTAACCAGCACCAGTTCCAAACCAGTTCTGTTTTGGTGGAAACGAGGTATGGCTAATTTGGTTCTTCAGTTCAAACGAGTTTGCGGATTTGATTAAAATGTCTGGATGAAGTTGTCTGGGATTACTGTGCGTTCTTGTGTTCATTGGAGAGGTCGGATATATCGATGTTCGAAACCACAGTCAACGACGCGGCGATTGGCTGGCGGCAAGACCGCAACGTAATGACATCATATTAAACAACGCAACGTCACACACTGACGAGAAACGTGAACTTCGGGACCAAAATGATAAAAGGTATAATAGATGAATGAAATGTACTGTTTGTTACGTGATTCCCAATTATT